TAAACTTTTCCAGAGGGGAGAGAAGTCCTTTTGTGCCAGGAAGTATCACTGCAGAGGAGAAACAAGACAGCACTGAGCTGTCACTGAAACCGTCTAAGGCTATTGGGAACATAACAGATGTAGGATGTCATATACAATGACTTCTGCAAGCATCCCATTCTAGAGTGTTTTTATGGCATCGAGGAGTTTCCTTCAGCTTTCTGACATACCTAGAAATTGCCAGTCTATGTTTACTGTGGTCATAGCAGTGTCCTTAACCAGAGAAGAATTAAAGGGAACAAGCTATGAAAATCATGTCTGCTGTAGTTCATTCAGATCTGAGCTGACACTGATGCCCATGTGTCACTTTTCTCCTTTTATCTTCCTGAAATAGACACAATCTTTATTTTTGTATATACTGGTAGTTTGCCTAATGTTTACTTCATCATTACACTCCAAATATGTCTGGACCAGAGACTTCTGACATCGGAGATGTGCTCCAGAGAAGCTCATGGGAGCAGAAGGTGCCGCTGAGACTGCTGGCTACGAGGGCCATTAGCCACAAGGGGGAGGTAGTACTTAATAATACGAAGCACCAGTCACTTCATGAGCCAGCAGTGTGCCCAGGTGGCCAAGAAGGCCAATGGCATCCTGGCTGGTGTCAGCAATAGCGTGGCCAGCAGGGACAGGGAAGGGATCTGACCCCTGGACTCGGCACTGGTGAGGCCGCCCCTCGATTCCTGTGTTCAGTTTTGGGCCCCTCACGACAAAAAGGACATTGAATGACTCGAGCGTGTCCAGAGAAGGGCAACGAAGCTGGTGCAGGGTCTGGAGCACAGGTCGTACGGGGAGCGGCTGAGGGAACTGGGGGTGTTTAGTCTGGAGAAGAGGAGGCTGAGGGGAGACCTCATCGCCCTCTGCAGCTACCTGAAAGGAGGGTGCAGAGAGCTGGGGATGAGCCTCTTTAACCAAGTAACAAGCGACAGGACAAGAGGGAATGGCCTCAAGTTGCACCAGGGAAGGTTTAGACTGGATATTAGGAAGCATTTCTTTACAGAATGGGTTGTTGGGCGTTGGAATGAGCTGCCCAGGGAGGTGGTGGAGTCCCCATCCCTGGAGGTGTTCAAGAGTCGGGTTGACATAGCGCTGAGGGATATGGTGTAGTTGGGAACTGTCAGTGTTAGGTTAATGGTTCGACTGGATGATCTTCAAGGTCTTTTCCAACCTAGTTGATTCTGTAATTCTGTGATTCAGCTGAGGATCTTGTTCTGATTGTTTATGTCAAGTTTAGAAGTGAGGTGTATCAGAAATACAAACCCGCAGGGGCAGTTATAAAGAGAAGAGTGAAGAGGCATTTTTCCAGCAGCTCAACAGCTTGGGCTGGGGTCAACCTGGAGCATGAGGCTGTTGGGGGTGCACGACAGTGAATGGCTGTCACGGCAGGACTCACAATCCCTCTGCACTTTTCAAACTCTTCCACAGACTCGTTTCCAGAGGCACCATTTACTTTCAGTTATTTGATTGTTGCCATTAGTATTACACACAGTTGCTAACAATTTCAGGGCTATTTTACCAGTAATATTTAATCTTTTTATTTTCTCCTATGGCTATCTATAATCTGTCTGCAGTCTTTTTGCACAACTCCATCCACAGTAATTTCTCTGAGAGTGGTACCTTGTGAGTAGGATTATATGCTATGACTGCGCTTGTCTCTTTGGAATAAAGCTTGCCACACAGGTCACTTGCTGGCCACCACCCTTAGTGCTGTTGTAAGGTAGGCTATCATGTGTATGAGCTGGGAGGTGTGATCATTTTTTAACAGCCCTTCTGATGTTAAGGTCCAGGTTGCTCCCTTCACCTCTTCATGGTTCGCCAAGTACATGAGTCTTGGCACTGTGTAGGTCTTCAAAATTGCAGCTTTCTATAAAGGTTTTGACAGAGTTTTTCCCATGTTAGAAAACCAAGAAGCAAGTTTCAATATTCAGATGTAGATGTCCCTATCCTGAGGTAAATTTTTCAACTCGGGGTATTTTTCAGTCTCCTGGAGCAATTGTGTTTGGCTTAGACTGAACACCTTCCAGTGGCTGCAGTCATTGGTCCTATAAGAGTCATGAGTGGGGTTGATGAAAAAGCCATGCCATTTCTCCCTCCGGGGTTTTTAGATCAGTGCAGACACAGAAAGGTTTCTACAGGGAGACAGTGTTTTGCATCCCCTCCCATGTGTTGCTTGGCAGGACCAAGTCATCAACAAAGGCCAAGGTAATAATCTGGTTTTGCAACATCATGGCATTTGCTCTGGTGGAATCCATAGCCATCTTTTTCTAGGTTGCAGAGTAATGAATAGATTTGGTGACATTGTATCCCCTTGTTTGACATCCACATTGATGGTAATAGGCTCAGCATGATCCTTTTTCAATTACAGATGAATGGTGGCACTTCTAGATAAAGTTTCATCTGACCATATGCTCAGATAGTTCTTTTTAGTTCAGAAGCAGAAAGTATGTTCATGTGTCACTGAGTAGCAGATCTTCACTGGTTACTTACCGCCTACAAGGGTTGTGGTTTTTCCTAGCATATTGAATGATGACCGGGAGTGATTGTACACTCAGAGAACCCAGGTTCAGCTATAAGGCCTCTTTGTCACCTGCTGGCCATTCATAGACCAAGCTTTTGTTACCTTAGTCAGAATCCATGGAAAAAGTGTTAAGATGATCAGATTGCGATAGGTGTCTCAGTTTTGCCACATAAGTTGATTTCAGTATCAAAATAGTTCCGTGTTCCTTGATACTATCCAGCAGACACATTGTCATCCATAAGTCAAAGTTCTGCCAACACCAGTCCCTTGGAAATATGTTTGTATGAGGTCTTCCAAATTTACTTGGCCTAGGTCAGATGTGGAGGTTTTACTTGTTTCTTTTATCTCCTTCAAAATGTATTTAGTGTTTGATAGCAGTTTAAAAGGCCAATTTGTCCACTCTCCAAGACTTTGAAAATTCTCTGTGCTGAGAAATATTTTCTTACTCTCCCTCCTGGACTTCACTGACTGAATATACTGTTGCACACAATCACAGATAGAACAGGTATTATTTTTATAAGGATATTTTGCATAGAGTAATGCTCACAGGGGCAATCAGATCTCTTGACCAAGATGGCTGCCTGGATGCTGGTGTTGCAAACATCCTTCAGTGGCGTCTTCAGCTAGGTGGACTGAGACTCCCTGAGCTGTTGTTCCAGTGAATTCTACGTGATCACTACAGTGTATGCATGATCAGCTCTTGATGATTATCCTAAAGTATATACAAAACACAACTTAATTATGAACAAAAGACAGCCCCACATGGTCATCCTTGCATAGGCAGGAACAATTTCCACTGGCTATATAAAATTATGAATGGTTTAGTCAGTTCCCCAACTGACAACAGGAACTGCTTGGGGAAATCCCTGGCTGTGCACTAGATCCATCACCCCATGTGGTTAAGCAGTTTATCTAAATATACAGACAGGGCCTATCACCTTACAGAGCAGAGCTCCAGCATATCAGCAGGGGCTCTCTGGGGAAACCTCTGGCGTGGCCTCAGCTGCTGGGAGAACTCCTGCAGCAATCAGTCGGTTGTTTTGTTGTGAAGTGGATGGCAGATCAGTTGATCTCGTTGCCAAGTTACCCTAAATTTCAGTGCTTCTTTGCAGATCCATCTGTTGTCTTGGCTATGTAGTGATTAGCTGGAAAGGTCCTGGACCAGGCAGTCAGTTAGTGACTAAGTGTCCTTGGCATGCACACAGGCAAAGCCTTCATATCCAGCTGCACCACAGCTGTAACTATAAACTTGCCTTTCAACCTTTTATCACAGCAATAACTTAAATTCCTTTGGTTTTGCCACAATACCTGAGCCATTGACCACTGTTTCTGCCTTGTATCCTCCACAAAGGAGCACTCCCTATTTTCTCATCCTCACATAGGGGTGCTCAAATTTAAAGAGCAAGAGGCAATAGGTGGCTTCCTAAGACCCTTCCCTTCAGAGGGGCTTGAACAGAGCTGTCACTTCCAGAGCACAGCATCCCTCTGAGTAAGACATGTTGTCATGTCAGGGGTCTTCTGGCAGCTATTTAGGCAAAAGCAGTGAGAGAAGGCCAGACCCTCTGGGCTGCTCCTCTTTACCTGTCCCCCTTCAGGAGCATTTTCTAAGGAAGATTTCCCTTTACCAGCACTCAGTCCAAGTTCTGTGAAGTCCAGAGTGCATTTTGTGCTTCTCTTTGTGCTGCATACACCCAGGACAGCAGCTGTACTGAACAACAGACAGACCAAAGAGAACGTGCTTTTTGCTTTTATCAAAAGCACAAGATGTCTCAGGGTGTTTCCTTACCTGCATCTAAATGTAGAAAGTCATATGATCACAGCTACCGCCCTGCAGACTGGGGACAACTTAGCTGTGATGATGACGGATGGGTAAATGTGAAGGATTGTGTCAAATACAAAGAGATTAAGGAACTTTTATGAAGTAAACATCGACTTTCAGAGTGTCTGAACACTGTCCTAGAGCAGCTGGATTGTAGCTCTTCACAGAGAGCAGGAAGATGAGAAAATCCACACAAGGAAACAAAAAGGAGCTGACGTGCCAGATGAGACATCTAAGGGATTCTGGAGGAAGGCAGAATACCCTACGTGACAGACAGAAGGAATTACTCCAGTCTTTCAGTGGGATGGTCATCTTTAATCACTCATCTTTAGTTAAAGCTTGTGCACTTATCTGTGTAACAATGCTGTTCTTTCCTAAGAATGAAAAAAACTTTCCAACATTCTCTTCTCAGTACCAAGACCAAAACTTTTCACACATCAATTTAAAAGTTGTCCAAATTGTGAAACCTTAAAATTGTGCATTTTGCTTGGAAAGTTGGAATAAAATAGAAAATTCCACTCCTCCCACCCCCCTTGCTCAAGTTACAAAACAGTGCAGAAATACGTAAGTTTTTATTACTTGCTGTTGGTTGTTTAACAGGTGAGTGACCATTTTCATAACAAATAAAAGTTCGTTAAATGTTTTGAAAACAAATTATTCTTGCATTCTACACATATATGGGCATTTCTGAACAAATAACCAATCCAGAATAATAGCTACTGGGCAAGATAAAACTCACAACAGAATTTTCAACATAACAACCCACAAAGGGGGAATGTTTCAAAAATACTAATGCACCAATAAACATGAGTATTGGTAGAAACTAACAGGCCAGCTGTTTCTAAACCGGTAACACACTTTTAAAAATCCTCCTCAAATAACTCTTCAGTCTTAATATACTGATCTGCAAAGTGTCTATGAACAATAGTTCAACCATTAGTTGTACAAATATTTGACACTTCTAAAAAAGTGAAATCGAGTATCAAACATTACATTGCATCCAACCCTGTACAATTGAGCATATGATGCTTCAACTTAACATATTTATACTGAAAAAACAATTTTACCCTCTTAAGTACATTTCCTTTAAACATTTTGAGTGATGTCAATGACAAACTAGAAAAAATGAAAAAGCATAAAATGTTTGATCTTTTAATACTGAGAGCTAATGAACACATACAAATTCAAGGCATGAATCTCAAATACAATGGCATTGATTCACTGGCTGCTATTTGTCAGCTGAGTTACTTAACCACCTGTACCATATGAACTGTGCCACAGGTGTGCAGTCAGACACTTTCCACATCCCAGAGGAATTATAGGCAGGGTAAATTATTCAAACTAATTTGTTCTACTGGGCAATTAGGGTATGCACATGCAGCCAGCTACAGCAGCTTGGCTCAGGCTGTCACAGAAGAGCAGTAACTCAATTGCATTCTCATCTCCCAACCTGCCTGTGCTTGGCATCCAAACTTTGACCTTTCCAGTGTTTGTGATGGTGGCTTTTTTTTTTTCAGGTCTGTCATCGACTATAACTTTATTAAAAAAAAAAAAAAAATCAGTACATAAGAGACTAATAAATCAATACAACAGTGTAATTAACATCACAAAGGTAAGCAAAATCACAACTGGAAAACTGAGTAGCTGGGAAATGTGTATTCTGTTTAAGAATTTTGTTTTGTGTTAGGTATTTTTGCTGAGTAAATGGATTAGGCTGCACACAGTACTTCAAAAGATTTATCTGCTGTCTTTAGTGTCCAGACAGAAATGAAACCAGGAGGAAATAACAAGAGAAAAACTCACATCTGCTGGAGTTCTCTGTTAAACTTGGATGGGCATTCACTTAGCTGGATTGCTTTCAAGCCATGCAGTAGCTGATTGCATACCTATTTGTCAAGTCTAGCCCTCAGTAAATAAAGAGCTGCTAATTAAAGAAATGACAACCTAACAACATTAATCAAAGTTAAGTAACAAAACCCAGATGTTAAAAACAAAAGGGTAACCACTGCCCCTTTGAGGTCTAAGGCTGGATTAGGAAGAAGAAAAAATGAGTTATTCTCCAAAATACATGGCACATTTGAAAAATAAGGTGGTTCCTACTGCTATAAGGACCCAAATAATACTCAAAGTTTTAAGGGACTTCAAGCATTGCAATGCACTGGGGTTTTGGTTGTTTGTTGTTTTTCTGGTGTTTTTTTTTTTTGTTTGTTTTTTGTTTTTTTTTAAATCTAATGTGCTTATTTGACTGTACTAACTAAATTAAAAAGCCCCCTTTCTTAAAATTTTGCAAAGCTTTTATATCTGTAGGCTTTCATGGTCAGGTGTATGTGAAGTGGTGAACCATAACCTCCACATTAAGTTGTGGAAAAGTATATTTCCATTCTGAGAGAACTGAGACAGTCAGAGAGAGAGGTAGTGGCTACCAATATAGGTTGCATTTAAGTTCCTATCTGCAAGTAACAAACAGGATCTGTCCAAGGAACAGAGGCAGGTGCAATGGCTGTAATCCATGGAGGTTCCCACAAGCTAACCAGGAAGCAGCCTGAGTGCTAGGATGCAAGGCAGCAGCACAGTGACATCTATAATGGAGGCACGCTGCTGGGTTACAACCTGGGTCAAAACCCCGACTGAGAAAAAACCATAAGTATTCTTAACCCATCCAGTCTGATGAGAATATAACTGAGTTATACTCTAGTATTTAAGCATGGATCCCTAGCTCCAGTGAGACTTTCACGAATTTATTTCTTTATGTATTATTTCAATTAGCATATTTCGGATGTTTCATTCATAAAGTATTATTTGTATACTAAGCTGGAAAACAATGTGAGGCTGATTAATTTGAAACATGATCATACTACTCCCCCCTTAGAATACTCACATTTATACACACACATTCACATGTATATATATTTATATAAAATGTACATACACATAGGATTATACATGTATACATATATATAAATGTATATACACGTATGATTGATGTGGCAAGCGGTTTCCTCAAACATTATCTGTTCCAAACATCTGCCTCAAAATCAGCCTTGCTTCAACAGACAAACAAAAATCAAATCAAATAAAATAAAAAAGCTAGCATTGAGACACCATGTAAAATATCCAGGATAAGGAGCACAATGTGCTACCCCACTTGGGGGAGACAAATCACTCTTCTCTGTTGACAGGAGTATGACCATCAACTAGGTAAAGTCGCTGCTTCTGATACCTATGGAAGCTGGCATACCTCTATACTACACTGCAGTCTGCAATACAAACACACTCACAGAGTTTAAGAGCATGCATAGCTCACTGGAGCATCTGTTGTTAGACAGTGAGAGGAAAGGCACCAACACTGCACACGTCCCATGCAAATACAAGTGCAATGAGAAGGAAAAGTGGAAACACAGTAGGAGCATTTAACAGCTTCAGACTACAACTGTGATTGTCCCTACTATGCACAGTCAATCACACGATATCCCATTACTTCCCCTGCTTATCATTTTCCTAACATGGCCTTTTCTGCCCTCTTGAACTTCTGTAGTTCAATAGCTAGTTCCCAATATCTCAGATACAGCCACATAAGTCTTCCATTTTGACTTTTGTTCCTGTTCAGCAGATTGCCACAGTAGTTATCATGTTTGAAAATATCTTTTAAGCCACTTTCCATTTGTAGAGCCATAGCAACAGGATCAGTTGCTGCTTTAACTAGCAGATTCTTCTCTATTTCTAGTCTCTGGCTTCTGGGTACCACAAGACTGCAGTAGATGTCCTGCCTTTCCTGAAGTCCCGCTTCAAATTCTTTTAGTAAAATACTGGCTCTCTTTTGCCACTCTTCTTCCTTTGCCAGACAACTCTGGTACAAGTTACCTGCTGCTCCTGAGTGCAAAAGGATTTGTTTTTCTCGCTCTAACTTCTCCTGTTCCTGTTCTAGGATCCTTCTTTCTTCTACCAGTTTGCGACTCTGGGACACGAGGGCCTGACGGTAACTCAGGGTTCTGTTCCGTTCCTTTTCCAGCTCCAACTCCAAATGAGCAACTGTGCGACGATTTTCTGTGATTACATCCCGGTATTTGGCTTCCAAGTCTTTCTGTAATGTTGAATGTTTTTTATAATATTCTTTCTTTTCTCTTTCTATTTCTTTTTGACATTCTCTGGTCCAGATCCAACCTATCATATATAAATGAGACTTCAGACATGAGTAAAACAGATATAACACTGATGAATATGATTAATTAACTATACCTCAAAGTTATTAAGTGGTAAAAAACTTTTCTTTCCTGTCCTCCCCAGGGATATTCACTTCTGTTCACATGTCCCACAAATGTATTTCTGTGGGTGTGTTTCACAGTAAGTCACTTTAAATGATCATGTTTCCTCTGAAGTGAAAGCTCCTCTTACTCTTTTATTGCTAATACATACACTTTTTGGATTAAAGAAGGGACATAAAGTCATGGAGAAACAATCTGGAGGTTTCCAATGCAGGGACTGCACTGAGAACTTTTCAGGTCCAGTAAATAAATATACACCAGCATCTCCTTGGGTTATTACCTTCAGGCTCTCTAGCACATTAGATGTCCACTCTTCTGAAATAACTTTGTAAACTGGTGCTTATTAAATATGGATTCAGTTCCATGTATGAAAAATGGCTATTGCCTTAATGCTATGACAGTGTTTACTGTTTATAACGTTATACACGAGCAGACCAGAGGGAAGCCCTAGGTGGGGCGTTACTTTACTGCTGTATGGCTGCAGAGAGTCCCCTGTGGCTGGGGGGTGGGACGCCTGGGCACCCACACACGCTAGCTCCTGCCCAGAGGCCTGGGCGCTACTTACGGAAGGCTGCCAAGCCCAGCATGGGGACCAGCAAGGCGTAGTTCCATCTGCTGCCTTCATCCCCGGGCTCTCGTTGGTTTGGCAGGATGTTCCAGTTGGGAGGGTCATTTAAATTATTCATGAAGGCACCTTAGATTTACAGGAGAGAAATAACAGCCTGAGCGGCAGGCAGGGGGCTTGGGCCGCTCCCCCCCAACCCGGACCTGCTAACCGCGGGACAGGTATTTCTGCCCGAGACCCTCAACCGCCGGCCCCACCACTCGGACGCGCTGTCGGCCGGTGGGAGGCTCCCCGGCCCCCTCCGTAACCGTCAGCCTGGGCGCGGCCGGGACTGCACCGCAGGCGGCCCCCTGGACCTCAGCACTGCCGTTGTTACCGCCCACCCCCTTCCCCGGCCCGGCGGCACACTAGCTAATGCTGCGACCAGCACCCCGAAAGCCTCCAGATTACAGGCCCAGGCCCCACCCCACCGCTCCGGAGCAAAGCGAGCACCTACCGGCCCGGGAGCGGCGGCGGAGCCTTGTGGCTGTCACCTGTGGGCCCCGCCCCCTCCCGGGCCGGCCCATTGGCCGACAGAAAGACGGGGAACGCCGCGGAGGACAAGAAGCGCTGCCGCTCCTCCGGCCCCGGCCCAGCCCGCTCAGGAAGGACCATGGGGGGAGACGAGGAGGTTTAGGGAAGCATCCCGCATGCGAGCACGCACACAGCTCGTGATTCCCCCCCTCTTCTCGCCACAATTGGTCTCTCCCACCGAGCCCTACGGGCAGCGGTGCCGTTAGCGGCCCCTCTCGCGCATGCGCCCTTGGTCGCTCCTCCGGGTCTGTGCGAAATGGCGGCGACCGTAGCGGCTTCGCGGAGCTTGG